AGAGCCCCAAGCGCTTTATGTTTAGCCTGGGAAAGAGAAGGCTTAGAGGGGACAGGATTGCAGTCTGCAAGTATTTGAAGGGCTGTCATGTAGAAGATGGAGCAGATCTATTCTCTCTTGTTCCAAATTGCAAGACTAGATCTAATGGGTGAAAATTACAAGGGAGTCGATACCGGCTAAAGATCAGGAGAAACTTCCTAACTGTAAGAGTGGTTGAGCAGTGGAACAGACTTCACTGGACGTTTTCAAGCGGAGGCTGGACGGCCATCTTTCGGGTATGTTGTAGGGCTCTCTTTTGGCTCCGCTCCTGCAGAGTGCAGGGGGTTGGACTAGATGACCTGCAAGGTCCCTTCCAACTCTAACATTCTATGATTCTATATAGGATCATAAGAGAAGTGAAAAGTACTTGGAACGAAGAGTGATTTCAGCAAGAGTACTTTATTTAGTGAAGAACAAGACAAGAATCCCCGGCACGCAGGCCGGTATATATGTCCAGAAACCCACCACCAAAACACACCCCCTAGTGACCCTATAGGTTATTTACAGTGGCCGAGAGTCCCATTGGCTCTCGGCCGCGGACCTGGCCCTCTGGTTGGTGCGGGCTAGGATCCGCTCCGCTATTGTTCTGCAGGAACAAAGCTTTGGGCATGTGCTTGACTGCATGGCCCAACGGTCGCGCACGTGGTAATGGCGGATACATTACAAGAAGCCAATGTTGGATCAGGCCAATGGGCCCTCCAGTCCAACACTCTGTCACACAGTGGTCCAAACCCAGGTGCCATCAGGAGGACCACCAGTGGGGCCAGAACTCAAAAAGCCCTCCAAGCACCAAGAATACCGAGCATCACTGCCCCAGACATAAGAACATAAGAACATAAGAGAAGCCATGTTGGATCTGGCCAATGGACCAATGCAAAGTAATGCACACTGGAGGATTTTTGCCTCCAGTGTGCATTACTTTGCATTGGCCCATGTTGAACCTCATTTGCTGTGCTGATGCTCACTTGCTCAGCCTCGACAGATCCCTCCGGAGCACCTCACTGTCCTCCCTGGTTCTTGCCACCCTGAACAACTTCATGTCATCCACAAACTTAGCCACTTCACTGCTTACCCCCAACTCCAAATCATTAAGGAACAACTTAAAAAACACCAGACCTACGGTACCCCACTGCTGACCCCCTTCCACTGTGAAAACTGCCCATTTAGACTCACTCTCTGTTTCCTTTTTTTAATCCACAAGAGGACTTGTCCTCTTATCTCATGACTGCTGAGTTTACTTCGAAGCCTTTGATGAGGAACCTTATCAAGAGCTTTCTGGAAGTCTAGGTAAACAACATCTACTGGGCTTCCCTTGTCCGTGGGCTGGTCCACCCCCTCAAAGAGACAAGATCTTCCCTTACGGAATTCATGCCAATTCTTCCTCAATAGCTTTGTGTTCATTAACATGCCTGATAATTCTATCCTTAATAACAGATGACACCAAATTTACCCAATATTGACATTAGACTGACGGGCCTGTAATTTCCCGGATCTCCTCTGGAATCTTTTTTAAAGGTCAGGGTTAGATTAGCTGTCTTCCAGTGAAGACAGAGCCAAAAAATGCCTTCAGCCATTTCCCGATCATCTTTTAGTAATCCTTTAACCCCTTGGTCATCCAAGGGCCCCACTGCCTCCGTGGCTGGTTTCCTGCTTCTCATGTATTTGAAGAAAGTTTTATTGTTGGTCTTCACCTTTTTTTGCTACCCTTACTTTGTTCGTGAGCCATGCAGGCCTTTTGAAATACTTGCTTGTACCTTTCCTTACCTGCAATATGCACCTTATCTGAGCTTCTAGGACTGTAGTTTAAATCGTTTCCAGGTTCCCTGAAAGGTTTTGACCCTCCTTACCTTTCCTTTCAGTTTCTTCTTCACGGACCCCCTCATCTGAGAGAAATGACCCCTCCCAAAGTTAAATGTGGTTCGGTTGGTCTTTGGGGGCATTTCCCTATTTACCGGGGAACTGATTTCTGTTGTCTCAAGATATCTCCAGCCGCCACCTGAAGCTTGGATACCCTCGAACTTCTCCCTGAATTTCCGCTGATCTCCAGACTGCATAGATCAGTTCCCCTGCCTGGAGGACAAGGCAGCTTTGGAGGGGGGAGCTTATGGTATCACACCCCCATGGAGCTCATTCCTCAACCTCCATCTTCCCTGGGTATCCCTCGCTCCCATCACACCTCCAGGAATTCACCGAGCCGCGGTTGGCAAGCCTATCGCCCAGTGAGGGAGATCTGAATGTGCTACACCTCCCCACCTCCCCACGACACCCGCTGTCTTGCTTACAGTGTAGCAGGGGTGATTTCCTTCAGGAACGCACAGGAGCGGCGCTCCGGCAGTAAAGAGCCCAGGGGGCAGGCACATGCAACAAGCCCCGCCCCCTGCTCCCAGCAGCCCTCCGTCAGCGCAAGAAACAGCCAGGTAAGTTGCAGAGCTCCCCCCGACCCCCCGGTCCAAAACAGTCCAGTGGCACCTTTAAGACCAAGTTTTACTCAGGTGCAAGCTCTCCCTCCTCTGTGAGGACAGATCTGCATGTTCCTCTCCCTCCAATAGCTAGCAATCCAAAACAGTTCAGTGGAGCCTGAGCAGTGGGTGTCGCCTTCTGACACACTTCCGGTGATGTCAGGGGGTGTGGCATATGCAAATAAGTTGTGCTAATGAGCTCCTGCACCTCTTTTTCTACAAAACGACCCCTGCAGTGTAGCATTGCCAACTCTGGCTTGGGGGATTCCTGGAGATTTGGAACAGTGCTGGGGAAGGTGAGTTATTCAAGAGGGCTTTTCTGTACAAGTGATACTATACATAAGGGCGGATTAACCATTAAGCAGACTAAGCAGGTGCTTAGGGCACCAGGGCCAAAGGGGGCACCACAAAGTTGGGAAAAGGGTGAAAAGAAAAGAAACCGAATGAAGATTTGTAAAAAAAAAAAAAATTGATAAAACTAGTGCTGCAACCTGCATTGTATATCTGGTCAGACAGGTCAACAACTAAAATGGACTGGGTCAGTGTGGAAAGGAGGGGGGGCACCATGATTGGTCAGTGCTTAGGGCACTGTTTGGTGTTGTGGTTAAGGGCGCGGACTCTAATCTGGGAGAACCGGGTTTGATTCCCCCACTCCTCCACTTGCACCTGCTGGATGACCTTGGGCAAGCCGTAGTTCTCTCAGAGCTGTCCTTGAAAAAGAGCAGTTTCCGTCAGAGCTCTCTCAGCCCCACCTACATCACAGGGTGTCTGTTGTGGGTAAGGGGAGTGAAAGGAGTTTGTAAGCCACTAACTTTGGGTAGTGAAGGGCGAGGTATAAATCCAATCTCCTCCTCCACCACCACCAGTGAGCCTTAATCCGCCCCTGACTATACAAAATGGTTCACAAACTTACTTTGGATAAATTTCTAGGGACTGTGGTCTATGCTAACTGTAAGTAGGATGCTACTACGTAATTCTTACACTGCTTAATGTGCCCTGTTAACACTTAATGCTGTGCTTCAGTTTTCTCCGATTGGTTCCGGACTTCTGCACTGTTTTTACTGAATGCCCCACCTGGTTGACTATACTGGCTCACTCTGTGTAATCTGGTTTGAGTCCTTGTGGGAAAGGCGGATTATAAACCAACCGACAGGCAAAGAAAACAAAAACAAGAGAAGCAAGAAAGGAGGCCAGCCCCTTCCTCGTCCCCCACCAATAAACACGCACACATGGCACAATTTCATAGTCTTCCTTTTTATTTAACTCTTTACAGGCTGCACTATCCCCTTTTCCTGGGAATGCACGTGTCCTCTTCGGTCTTCAGGCAGCAAAAGGAGACAGATGGGAGGGCTCTTGCGCCAAGACTCTCTCTTGCCCCCCATCACGACTGCCCCCCAACAGGGTTATGATTCTCTCTGTTCTCATTGGCTGTGCTAAGGTGAGGATACGACGACTGTGAGAAAAGCTCCACGGTTGTTAATTGTTGGAGAATATGAGGACGAGAACAGCTCGTCTGGATCAGACCAAAGGTCGGTCTACCTGGTCTGTTTCCAGTTAGATGTCTCTGGGGAAGCTTGCGGGCAGGGTGGGCAAGGGATATCCCTCCCCCTGTTGCTCCTTCCTAGCAGTCGGCGCTTAGAGGTATGCTGCCTTGGACCATGGAGGTTCCACTGAGCCAAACCGCTTCTGCAGCGTGCCCTCGAAGTCAGCCGAGCAAGGTGCCATGACCACAATGTGCCAGAGAAATGGCCGAGCTTGGCCATCTGGATGCCCCCAATCCCCTGCGGCAGGAACTTAAAGGTTTTTCACAAAAGTGCGGAGGGGAGAGGTCTCCTCCGGAGGGGCCCCTCCGCCTGCAGCTCCAGGCCATTGAGGCTGGAATCCAAACAGCACAGCTGGAAGACGGTATGTGGACAACCGAGATTAAGGGGCTGGGATGGCCTAAGGGTGATTCCGCATTAGACCTTAAATCCCGGTTCGACCCTGTTCCCGAACGTACATTCTACACTGCACTCGAGTTCACCCCTCTAATTCTCTCGGGGTCTTTTCCGTTTCCACATTACGTTGAGGTCACCCTGGTTTCGCCCCACATTCGTCCCGGGATAAATGGATGCTGCTATAACCAGGGACAAATGCCAGGTATTGTGTCACGAGTTGAACTCTGATAAAACCAGGAATGAGGTCCAAGTGCGGAAAGGACCTGTGTCGAGGAACACAATCTCGGGAGCCGATTCCCAGGGCCAGAAATACAATCAGTCTGGGGAGGGAATGGATTAGCTTGCCCCTCCGGCTCAGCTTGCGGGCACGTCTTGGCACCTGGGGGGAAGCCCTCCAAACAAGGGGCGGCCTGCCTAGGGGAAGGGGGCAGGCACAGGAGGCCATCAGCTAAGAAGTTCGGGAGAGGAATCCTCCCATTCAAAGGCCAAAACCAAGCAGCAGAAGGAAGAGGATGGATGGATGGATGGATGGATGGATGGATGGATGGATGGATGGGCATCCTTTCGTCTTCGCCGCTCCTCTTGCTGTCTTGGGCATCCTCACCAAATGTGGCGAACATCGGCGCCAAAGAGCAAAAAATTCTAGGGGAGAGATTCAGAAGGCACCTGGGGGGGAAGCCCTCCAAACAAGGGGCGGCCTGCCTAGGGGAAGGGGGCAGGCACAGGAGGCCATCAGCTAAGAAGTTCGGGAGAGGAATCCTCCCATTCAAAGGCCAAAACCAAGCAGCAGCAGAAGGAGGATTATGGATGGATGGATGGATGGATGGATGGATGGATGGAGGGAGGGATGGACGGATGGACGGACGGATGGATGGATGGATGGATGGGATGGACAGGCTTCCTTTGGTCTTTGCAGCTCCTCTCGCTGTCTTTGGCGTCTTCACTAACCGTAGTGAACATCGGTTCCAAAGTACAGAAAATTCTGCGGGAGAAATGCAAAAAGCATGAACATACATGAAGCTGCCTTCTACTGGAGCTCCATCCTGGTCAGTATTGTCTACTCAGACCGGCAGCAGCTCTCCGGAGCCATGGGGAGAGAGGTCTTTCATATCCCCTATTGCCTGGTCCTTTCTAACTGCAGATGCCGGGGACTGAACCTGGGACCTTCTGCCTTCCTCGGGGGACTCCTCCTTGACTGCCAGGAGGCAGGCACCTCCCTTGGAGACCTGCTCTTCTTCTCTGCCATTTGTCACGTACCTGATGTGGTTGGAGGACGGTGTTGGAGAGCTGCAGGTCATCCGGGAGCGGGAGGGGGAACCCCTGGGCCAGTCGTTCTGGAAGACAAAAGTTGTGGGAGTCACGGAGAGCGGCAGACAGCAGAGTGGGGAGGAAAGTCGCATTTTGTTTCCACCCAGTGGGGCTCTCCAGTACGCTGCATTGCTTCTTCTACCCCACTCTTTGTCCAGAACAGGCAAATGCTGCAATCGAAATATCTATTGGGATATTTGGTTAATATAGCAGAGTTTGCCCAGACCTAGAAGCATGATACTGAGTTCAGTAACTAATCCCCCCAAGAAGTATATTGCAAAATAGGAAAACTTATGTGTATTCAAGTAGATGATGAAGGAGAAGAGATTGGATTTATACCCCGACCTTCACTATCCAAAGGAGTCTCAGAGTGGCTTACAATCTTTTTCCCCTCTCCCTCCCCACAACAGACACCCTGTGAGGTAGATGGGGCTGAAAGAGCTCTGAAAGAGCTCTGAGAGAACTGATCTTTCGAGAACAGCTCTGAGAGAACTTGTGACTGACCCAAGGTCACACCAGCAGCTGCATGTGGAGGAGTGGGGACTCAAACACGGTTCTCCCAGATTAGAGTCCGTGCTCCTAACCAATACACCAAACTGGCTCTCAGTTGACGTTCAGGTGGCAGTCATAAGAAGAAAGAGTACTTTCCCCGTTACGAATGGTTCAGCTTGGGGCTATTGGACCTGAAAAAATCCAGTATTTATGAAAAATCCCAGTTCCCAATACCAGCATGGCATGGAAGGTCCGTAGTTCAGCAGTTTGAGACCCGAGTGCCGCATGACAGAGTGAGCTCCCGTCTCTGGCCCCAGCTCCTGCCAACCTAGCAGTTCTAAAGCAAGAAATTGCAAGTAGATAAATAGGCACCGCTTCGGTGGGAAGGTTAACAGCATTCCATGTGCCTTGGCGTTTAGTCATGCCGGCCACACGACCATGGAAACGTCTTCGGACAACGCTGGCTCTTCGGCTTGGAAATGGAGATGAGCACCGCAACCCTAGAGTCGGATTCGACTGGCTTTCGAGCAAAGGAAACCTTTACCTTTTTTATACCAGTAGCTGGTCAGATTCTCTGATCTGAATTCAGCTTAAATAATACCCTAAAATACCAGTAAGATATTTCTCAGGTATTTTTTCAGCTTGGTTTATGGCGAATGCACACCCTCACTTGTCTGGCATCATGCATGTGTGTGGGAGTACGAGGACACTGCAGCTACAGGAGAGACCTGCAAAGCCAAGTGTCTCCAAGGAAGGCCAAGTAGAGGGAGTGAAAGGACAGAGGGAAAGATAAAGGAGGGGTCGGGAGCAATGCTCCCTCTAAGCTGTGGAGTCTTGTGAGCAAAGGCTTTGTGAGCTATTGGCAATAAAGTTGGGAGCGAGCGATTTGGCTACTGCCTAAATTAGTTTGCTCTGGAGCCCTCCTTCCTGAGCTGAGACAAAAATGTGTGAGCTGGAGGCTAAGAAACGGTGAGCTGGCTCACACTCACTCAGCTTAGAGGGAACACTGGTTGGGGGGGGGGGCAGCTCCCAGGTTAAGACAAAGAGAGGCATCCCATTCAAAGAGATGACACCTATACACACGCAGTGTGATGCAGCGCCCCCCAATGTCCAGCCATGCTGAGTCATGCACTGCAACAAATACATTCGCACAAGTTCACGACATAGATTTCCTTCTTTCTCTGTCTACTACGAAGAGAGGCAGAAAAGCACACAAGCCCTTCAGCTTAGCTACGGGGAGTTGCCGGCTCTGCCCTCCTCTAGTTTCTGCTCTTCGAGCTGCTTGCCCAGGTTCAGTCATTTCTGGCGGCTTCATAGAATCATAGAATTTTAGCGTTGGAAGGGACCTTGCAGGTCATCTAGTCCAGCCCCCTGCACTCTGCAGGAGCAGAGCCGAAAGGTAGCCCTACATACCTACAACATACCCGAAAGATGGTCGTCCAGCCTCTGCTTGAAAACGTCCAGCGAAGGAGCATCCACCACCTCCTGAGGCCGTCCGTCCCACTGCTCAACCACTCTTACAGTTAGGAAGTTTCTCCTGATATTTAGCCGGTATCGACTCCCTTGTCCTTTCCACCCATTCGATCTAGTCTTGCAACCCGGAGCAAGAGAGAATAGATCTGCTCCTACGTGACAGCCCTTCAGATACTTGCAGACTGCAATCATGTCCCCTCTAAGCCTTCTCTTTCCCAGGCTAAACAGACCCAACTCTTTCAGCCTTTCCTCTTAGACTTGGATTCCAACCCACTCGCCATCCTGGTTGCCCTCTTCTGGACACACTCGAGCTTGTCAACACCCTTCCTACAATGTGGTGCCCAAAACTGGACGCAGGACTCCAGGTGAGGCCTGACCATAGCAGAACAGAGCGGAACGACCACCTCCCGTGATCTGGACACAAGGCTTCTGTGAATGCATCCTAAGATTGCATTAGCTTTCTTCGCAGCCACATCGCACTGCAGGCTCATGTTTAGCTTGTGATCAAGCAGAACACCCAGATCCCTTTCATGTGTGCGGCTGTCAAGCCAAGTCCCTCCCATTCTATATCTGTGCCTTTGATTTTTTGTCGTGTGAAACGGGTGCAATAAAGGATTTGTGTTAGAAAGCACTTTGCACAACGGTCCTTACCGTTAATTTGAGGGAGCAAGATGTTGGCGGCAAAGTAGTTCACCATGACCTGCATCAATTTCACCTGGAGGGGAAGAAGGAATGGCTGATTGGAATGGGCCTGGTGAATCATCCACTCCTGCCCTGAAGCAGAAACCCCAAGCAGGCTCCCTGTCTGCCTTTTCCTGCCCCCCAAGGCCTGCTTGCTCAGTCATTCTGAGGCAGTGAGGAGACCCAACCCTCCTCCCCCCCCAGGTCTGGGAAAGCGTTTGAAGAGAGGACATCCCCAGATATATGGGGGTGGAAAGTGCCATGGAGTTGCAGCCAACTTATGGCGACTCCATAGGGTTTTCAAAGCAAAAGGTGAGTAGAGGTGGGTTGCTATTGCCTGCCTCTGCGTGGCAACCCTGGACTTCTTTGCTGGGCCCCATCCAAGTACTAACCAAGGCTGACCCTACTTAGCTTCCAAGATCTGACGCGTTAGGGCTAGCCCAGGTCAACCAGGTCAGGACAAGAGATGAAAACAGGTGGTTTGCCCAGGTCAACCAGGTCAGGACAAGAGATGAAAACAGGTGGTTTGCCCTTGCCTGCCTCTTCAGGACAAGAGATGAAAACAGGTGGTTTGCCCAGGTCAACCAGGTCAGGACAAGAGATGAAAACAGGTGGTTTGCCCTTGCCTGCCTCTGCATAGCTACCCTGGACTTCCTTGGTGGTCTCCCAACCAAGCACTAACCAGGGCCGACCCAACTTAGCTTCCAAGATCTGATGAGATGGGGCTATCCTGGGCCATCCAGGTCAGGGCAAAAGATATGCAGAGGTGGTTTGCCCTTGCCTACCTCTGCATAGCTACCCTAGACTTCCTTGGTGGTCTCCCATCCAAGCCCTAACCAGGACCAACCCTACTTAGCTTCCAAGATCTGATGAGATGGAGCTTTCCTGGGCCATCCAGGTCAGGGCAAAAGATATGCAGAGGTGGTTTGCCCTTGCCTACCTCTGCATAGCTACCCTGGACTTCATTGGTGGTCTACCATCCAAGCCCTAACCAGGACCAACCCTACTTAGCTTCCAAGATCTGATGAGATGGGGCTATCCTGGGCCATCCAGGTCAGGGCAAAAGATATGCAGAGGTGGTTTGCCATTGCCTGCCTCTGCGTAGCAACCTTGGACTTCCTTGGTGGCCTCCCATCCAAGCACTAACCAGGACCAACCCTACTTAGCTTCCAAGATCTGATGAGATGGGGCTTTCCTGGGCCATCCAGGTCAGGGCAAAAGATATGCAGAGGTGGTTTGCCATTGCCTGCCTGTCATGCCTGCCCTTGCTGATGCCCCTGAGGAGGCACCTGCCAGCCAGGAGCCTGTGGACTTACAGGCTCCTGAGGACAGTACTGCAGCAGAAAGGCAAAGACTGGATCCTGTAGCTGAAAGCTACCTAAGTGGTGAGGAGGATCAAGCCTCTCCCATCCAAGAACTCACCAGGGCCAACCCTGTTTAGCTTCTGAGATCTGATGAGATAGAGATCGGGCTAGCCTGGGCCATCAAGCTCAGGGCCCAGATATCTAGGAGGGGGAAAGAACCCAAGGTGGGGTAGCTCCGCCACCTCAAATGACCAAATTGGGAACGGGAACCCCTGGCCATGCCACAGGACTCTTTGGTTGTTCTTCAAGGCCACGGGATCCAGTCTTTTTGGTGATTGAGAAAGTCTTACCGAGAACGGCCCCACGTCTGAGTGCTTCAAGGACAGCTCCAGCCTAAAGGAGGGGAAAGAGGGAGAATTGGGTTCCTTTGGCAGGGCAAACGAAGAGCAATTTATTTTGTGTGCTGGGAGACCGCCACCTTGGGGTGAACCCCGGATCCCGTAGCCTGAAATCCCCAGCCCACATAAAAAGGGCTGATTTCAGGGACGCCAGCGGAAACAGCTGGGTTCCCCAAGAAGGTGGGAAAGGAAGATTTTTCGGTGTGAAAATGCAGAGACCCTCGGGCAATATTGCTCACCTGCCAATCTTCAGGGACCCGACGATCTTATTGGACTCCACAGCAGCGGTGGCGGAAATGGTGGTTGACTGGGAATCAGAGAGAGGCGGGTTGGGACGGCTTTGCAGGCAGTGCAAAAATCTTTTAAAATGCTGCCAGATGTGCACGGGGCCAGCTGAGTAGCTGTTTCATAGACTGTAGCGTTTGCCATTTGCAAAAAAATTTGCATCATGCAAAAAAATTAGGAAGTAACCCAGAAAAACAGCAGAGGCAGCTGAGCCCAGTGGCCGGGTCTTCCGCCATCCCAGGGTCCCACTGCAGAATTCCCCTCCCTTGAACTGTCTGCAGTTTATAGAAACAGCTGGAGAATCGTTCGGGAATCTCCTGTCATCCCATAAGACGGTCCATCTAGCATCCTGTCTCCCACAGGGATTGGTCGGTAGCCCTCAGGTGAGGGCATAGAGGCCAACGCCATTCCATGTGGCTTCCCGCAAACGCCTTGCACTCTGAGGTAAAGTGCCTCTGAATACGGAGGCTCCATTTTGTCATTGTGGCTGATCAGGGCTTCTTTTGTAGAAAAAGCCCAGCAGGAACTCATTAGCATAATAGGCCACACCCAACAGCAGAAACCCATTAGCATGTTAGGCCACACCCCTGACAGTGCATCTCATTAGCATGCTAGGCCACACCCCCGTGGCTTCCCTTGGCTTGCCCGGGCAAGCCATGGGGAGGCATTTAAATGCCTCCCCGATACTTCCAGGGGTCCCCCTGGCCCGCCCACCTTGGAGTCGTCAGGGGGTCACTCTCCAGGCCTTCCCTCTGTAGCCACACATGCAGAGGTTTTGTCTGTAGTGGGCGCGGCCAGCTCTTAAGCCAGCCGGAACTCCGTTCCTGTGCGCTCCTGCCCCCAAAATAGCCCTGTGGCTGATAGCAACCAGTGGATTGATCTTACCACATCCAGCAGAAACAGGGGGGCCAGGGAGGAGTTGGGGAGGATGGCGAAGGCTTGGAGGTCCACCGTCGGGGCAAGAGACAGGCCTTCTGGAGCAACGGCCAGAGACGGTGGAGAAGAAGGCGAGACCACGAGCTTCATGAGCATGCTGGGGTACAATTTCTCAATCTGGGGGGGCAGAGAGCAAGATCAGCCATTTTACACTGTTCTCCTGGAGACGTGGTTCTTTGGGAAGCGAAACTCTGTCTTTGCAAAGGCTCTTGAAGTATTTAATGGCCGTCCCTTAGAGGAGGGCAGGGAGCTGTTCCTGTGGGCAGCAGAGGAGAGGACTCGCAATCATGGGTTTAAATGAAGGGCGGGGATGGGACCAGTTGGACATTACGAAAAATATTTCGACAGTCAGAGCTGTGCCACAGTGGAATCGGCTGCCTGGGGAGGTGGTGAGCTCCCCCTCACTGGCAGTCTTCAAGCAGCAGCTGGACAGACGCTTGTCAGGGATGCTGTAGGATGACCCTGCATGGAGCAGGGGGTCAGACTAGATGCTCTTTATGGAACCCTTCCATGATTCTACCTACTTTACAAGGTGCTAGCTGTGGGGGACAGGAATGGATGGCGATTGTAAGCCACTTTGAGCCTCCTTAGGGCAGACAAAAGCAGGCTAGAAAACCAAATCCTCTTCTCCTTTTGTTCTCTTTCATGGCTCTTTTAAACCTTTACTAGAATTGTGCTCGCTTGCAATCTCTTATGAAGTTCTGTCTGCAACCAGGAGTGGATGATTTAGGGAAGCGGCCCGGTGCCACGAGAGACTCGCCTGTGGAACCAGAGATCCAAAGGAGGAGGTGTTCAGCCGGAGTTTAGACTCCTTGGGAATCTGCAGGGAGAGAAGGAGGCATTTGGGGAGGGGAGAACAGAGACGTCAGATCAGCCCTCAGAATTTCCCACCAGCGATCCGAGCTGTAGCCAACCCCCAAACCTGCTAGGAGAGCCAAAACCCAACAGTGGGACGCTTGAAGTATAAGTATAGTTTTCTGTCCGCCACCAGGAGGTTTGCCCTTTGAGGCTGATAAGAACATAAAAACATAAGAGACGCCAATGTTGGATCAGGCCAAAGGCCCATCCAGTCCAACACTCTGTGTCACACAGTGGCCAGAAATACCAGGGGCCCTCAGGAGGTCCAGCAGTGGGGCCGGGACACTAGAAGTCCTCCCACTGTTGCCCCCCTCAAGCACCAAGAATACAGAGCATCCCTTGCCCCAGACTGAGAGTTCCTATGTATACCTTGTGGCTAATAGCCACTGATGGACCTCTGCTCCATATAAGAACATAAGAGAAGCCAATGTTGGATCAGGCCAATGGCCCATCCACTCCAACACTCTGTGTCACACAGTGGCCAGAAATACCAGGTGCCATCAGGAGCTCCAGCAGTGGGGCCAGGACACTAGAAGCCCTCCCACTGTTGACCCCCCCCCCCAAGCACCAAGAAGACAGAGCATCACTTGCTCCAGAGTCCCTATCTATACCTTGTGGCTCATAGCCACTGATGGACCTCTGCTCCAGATGCTTATCTAATTCCCTCTTGAAGCCGCCCATGCTTGTAGCCGCCACCACCTCCTGGACGACCGGTGCATTTTTACACTGATACTTGTGTGGGGGGGAGAATGGGGGGGTGGCATGTTTTCTAGGGTGGGGGGAGAAATCTCCTACTTGAAGCAAGGTGGTACTTTGAGCTTTGGCCCATTCTGCTAATCCGGCCGCCCCTCCTTACCATGTTGTCTGTGAGGTCGTAGGTCAGGGCGCCTGCTTGGTAGTAGACGTAGCCGGCTGTGTTGAACAGGTAACTGGAGATGCCAAAATAAAGCATGCGGTCATGATCCTCGGGGACAGGCAAGGCGGGTGGTGGGAAGGGGGCAGCGGAGCGATGAGCGAGGGAAAAGAATTCACCCTGGTGAGAGAGGAAGCAGAAAGAGACACCGGAAACTTGGGGAAGCCCGAGGTCATTTCCTGCAGGAGCGCACAGGAGCGGAGCTCCGGCAGTAAGGAGCCCAGGGGGCAGGCACATGCAACAAGCCCCACCCCTTGCTCCCAGCAGCCCTCAGTCAGAGCAAGAAGCAGCCAGGTAAGCTGCAGAGCTCCCCCCGGTCCTCTGGCCCAAAACAGTCCAGTGGCACCTTTAAGACCAAGTTTTATTCAGGTACAAGCTCTCCCTCCTCTGTGAGGACAGATCTGCACGTCTCCCCCCCAATAGCTAGCCATCCAAAGCAGTCCAGTGGAGCCTGAGCGGAGGGTGTTGCCTTCTGACACACTTCCGGTGATGTCAGGGGGTATGGCGTATGAAAATGAGTTATGCAAATGAGTTATGCTAATGAGCTCCTGCACCTCTTTTTCTACAAAATGACCCCTCTGACTTCGGGTGCCCGAACAACCCCTGAATCAAGACAAACTGAAAAGCCCCAGACTTCTATTTCCAGAGTCTGTAAAACGGCAATATTTGACGCTGTGTATGTGTTTCCGGAGATGGGTATCTGTATTTAACACTTTAATTCATTTCAATACTGAATCTGCAGATTTCAGAGGTTATCTATATATCTAATTCCCAACATGCCCCCAGCGTGCGGATATCTAAATCCGCACATCGGGGGCACCCGGGGGGCAGGGAGATTTTCCTGCACACTTGAGGCAATCCCCAGATGTGCAGAAAAATCTAAACAGTTGAAAAAAGTATACGGAGGATATCTAAATCCACCCAAAAGTAAAAGAGCCTTCGCTGCGCATGCGCAGAGAAAGCGCTTACCAACAGAAACTGTGGCTGCCGGCAGCTTCGGCAGCACGAGAAGAGAAGCCTTGGCAGCTGGCGACTGGGAGCTGCGGCCATTGCTGGGGGGGCCATTGCTGTCGTTGCTGGTGGCGGTGGGGGAGGGAGAAGAGCCACACAGGGCTCACCGTCTTTGCTGCTCGTGGCTGCGGTGGCTGGGGGGAACCTTGGAGGGCTGGTGGCTAGCTGCAGCCGTTGCTGCTGTCGTGGGGGGGGGAAATCCTGGCGAGCCCAATGGACCACCTGTGGGCTCACCTGCAGTCGCTGTCGCATCCTCCTCTGTGCGGAGCTCCTGCGGCTTCAGCAGGCGAGCCACCCGGGAGCGGCGGGAATACCCACACACACACACACACGAGTATCGCGGGTCCTGCCTCTTGTTATATTTTAAATCTAATTCAAATTCCAGTGCTGTAAGTTCTCTGATTTGTGTATTGTTTTAAATTGTAATGGCCAACGGCTATACAATAAAATTTCACTACTACTACTATTTCCAGTGTCAGGGCCAGGCTTTCCAGCTGGGCAATCTTAAAATAAGAGATGGATCTTCTACAAATTCAGAAACGTGTTAAAAATTCCAGCCCAAATTCCAAAATATTAGCCAGTTTTGGTTTAAGGTAAAGGTAAAGGTTCCCTTGCTCGAAAGCCCGTCGAGTCCGACTCTAGGGTTGCGGTGCTCATCTCAGTTTCAAAGCTGAAGAGCCAGCGCTGTCCGAAGACATTTCCTTGGTCATGTGGCCGGCATGACTAAACACCAAGGCGCACGGAACGCTGTTCCCTTCCCACTGAAGTGGTACCTATTGATCTACTTGCAATTTCTTGCTTTCGAACTGCTGGGTTGGCAGGAGCTGGAACTAGAGACGGGAGCTCACTCCGTCATGCGGCACACTCGGGTCCCAAACTGCTGAACTACCGACCTTCCACAGCCTGCAGTTCAGCGTCTTAACCACTTGAGCCACCGCAGCTCCTTAGTTCTGGTTTAGGGCACCCTTTTTTACATCACGTTGTTTTTTTTAATCAGGAAGTTTTGAAAACTACAGTCTCGAAAGTTCACACCCTGAAACTCTCGTTGGTCTTTAAGATGCTTGTGGTGGCGGAAAGTTCTCTCAAGCGGCAGCCGGCTTATGGAGACCCTTCCGGGGGCTTTTCAGGGCAAGAAACAATCAGAGGTGGGTTTGCCCTTGCCTGCCTCTGCGTAGCCACCCTGGACTTCCCCTTCTTGGTGGTCTCCCATCCAAGGACTAACCAGGGCCGACCCTGCTTAGTTTCCGACATCTGACGAGATGGGGGTCAGCCTGGGCCGTTCAGGTCAGGACAGAGAAACAGAAGGGGTTGGCCACTGCCTGCCTCTGCGTCGTGCCTGGACTTCTTTGGTGGCCTCCTATCCAAGTACTAACTGGCTCTGACCCTTCTTAGTTCCCGAGCTCTGGTGAGACTGAGCTGGCCTCGGCTATCCAGGTCTAGGCAACAGTCATGACAACGGGTTTGCCATGGCCCACCCCTGAGCCCTGCTTAGCTTCCGGGACCTGACGAGATCTGTTAAGTCGCTCGCTTAACAAAGTAGTCGGAGAGTGATTCAGCAAAGATTCAGCTTTATTCAGCAACTCGGACACAACTCCAACACGGATCAACATCTGATTGCCAGAACAGCTTTTACATTGCAGCTGTCCTGCTTTTAAACTCTCCCGGCTAATGTAGCCACGCCTACTGTACAATTACCAACCAATAAGGTTGCATACATGACCAATCACGGACGTTCCCACTCAGGGAGCTTGCTGAGAAGTGATTGGTTAGGTTCTTCCTGGGCTAGCAATGTGATTGGATGGATTTGGATCCTAGCCCAGGACGAAGCTTAACATGGCAAGTCGATTATGTTGTTCACATGCAGTTATGCATTCAATGGCAGCTATTGAATACATTACAAGATCCAGCTAGCCTGGGCTGATGTCAGGTAGCCCTGTCATAGATCTGGAATGTGGAGGGGTGCCCTACTCCTCAGCTCTTCCCTGTCCTGCTTCTGTGCGCTATCTCATGCTTGACCTTGCTGTCTCCAGCTGCAGTTAACTCGACTGGGAACCTTAACGGCTTTTGCGCTTTGCCCGCTTGCCCGCTAGCTTTTGTCCGTGCGCGAGAACTATAATCATTGGCTTGTGCTCCTGGGGGGATGTTCGATTTTACTATAAGTCAGAGGCCCTACTACTGACGGCCATTCCTGACACAATCTGTACACGTGTTCTTTAACACTGGAAACACTAATAAACAGTTATCTTCTTCTGAAGCCCTGTGTGGTGTGACCTGATTGCGGAGCCTGACAGTTACCTGGGTCAGGGCTCCTGCTGGAGGCCGCCGCCTGAAACTAGTGGCCTCAGCTTCTCTCGCCTCCAGTAGCTTTCTTCCTGGCAGTTCTCCTGTACCTTCCGTGGCCAAAGGAGAGGCCACGACTTCCCCCCCAGAAATGGCTCCTCAACATCGCCTGAACTGACTCCTGAAGGGCCTCCGACTCAAGCGTCAGTTGCTGTCGCTCCTTCACTTCTCTGTCAAGCACTTACAAGTGCCGGGTGCTGCACAAAGAAGGCAGGTTTCCCACCTCCCTAAAGACAGGGCACCCTAGAAGAGCCAGAGGCAAGTCCAGCAGCACCGACTAGATTTCCAGGGTATCAGCATTTCAGGGGTATCAAAGCTCCCTCCATCAGAGATCTGGAGCTTTGACACCCCAAGAAGCTTACACCCAGAAGATCTGGTTGGTCTTACATGTGCTTCTGGACTTGAATCTTGCTCTTCTGCTGGAGACCAACATGGCCGTCCGCCAGGACTCCCTCGAGAGGGATGGAGAGAATAAGATGAGTTGCAACCCATCAGGAACAGCCCCACGGAGATTACTCTAGAGCAGAAGCAGGCCACGGTACACCTCCTCCTCCTCCTCACAGCTCCCTCCTCTTTCCTTACCTTCAGGTCCAGATCCAGGGAGTCACTTGTGGCAACGGGAGGACCAACCAGGGAGTAATCGATCCCGGACACCTTGTCGATCTTTGCCGTGACTGCAAGACAAAGAGAGGAAGTCAGGGGACAGTCCCCTCGGCTGTGTGACTCTGGCTTTCCTCAAAACGTCTCCGGAGTGTGGCGCTAAAAAGCCCAGAGATGCCCTCAAGGTGGACCAGTGGTCCTTGCCCCTCCCCCACCATGTACACTTTGGACTTTCGGACAATCTCGAGTGCAAAGCAAGCTTTGTTGAAAGGAAATAAGAGATAAACGATTCCGTTCAGTCAAAAATCTGCAGGAGAGGAGGGGAGGAGAGGAATCTGGGACACAAACCCACTTCTCGGTGGTTAAAACCCACACCTATATCCAGGCGCAATTTCCTGCAGGAGCGCACGGAAGCGGAGCTCCGGCAGTGAAGAGGCCAGGGGGCGGGCACATGCAACAAGCCCCACCCCCTGCTCCCAGCAGCCCTCAGTCAGAGCAAGAAGCAGCCAGGTAAGTTGCAGAGCCCCCCATCCTAGCTCCCTGGTCCAAAACAGTCCAGTGGCACCTTTAAGACCAAGTTTTATTCAGGTACAAGCTCTCCCTCCTCTGTGAGGGCAGATCTGCATGTCCCCCACCCCCCAATAGCTAGCAATCCAAAAGAGTACAGTGGAGCCTGAGCGGAGGGTGTTGCCTTCTGACACACTTCTTGTGATGTCAGGGGGTGTGGCATATGCAAATGAGTTGTGCTAATGCGCTCCTGCACCTCTTTTTCTACGAAGTGACCCCTGCCTATATCTTAAGAAGTGGCACAGGTGGCTCCCGCCCCTCAAAGCAGTTTCCTCGGCATCTTCCTTGGTATCTTCCAAAGGACGCTGCCGAGTCTGGCTCTGGAGATGACATGAAAGAGGATCTCCAAATCCTGCCTGGGAAGGAGGTTCAGAAACAGGTTCGCATGAGACACCGTGTCCCCCCGCCGCCACACAGGCCACCAGAAGCCAGACAGGGCAAGGTGTGGCGCCTTGGTCCTCCTGGCTAGGAAGGATGCTCCTTCCTTCTGCCCCCTCCGGCTTGTTCCTGCACCCACCTGGGGTGCCCCTCACCTGGCAGAGTCTGTAGATAGGGCTCTAGTCTGGAGCTGACGGAGCTGGAAACCACTTTGCAGACCTGAGAGAGAGAGGGGGGGGGGGGGGGGGGGGAGAGACGGTGCTGATGAATGCCTCCCGGGCAGGAGAGCGGCACTCGGCCTGCTGGGCTTGTGAGTGATCCCACAAATGACAGAGTGGGGATCTGTAACCACATCTTGGACAGCTCATTTTGCCCACAGCCAACCAAGCAATTTGGGTTTCCATAAAGGACAACAACAAGGCCTTCTTTAGTTCTGCTGCTCCGCAGGCCTTTGCTGTAATTTGGTGTCGTGGTGAATTGCGCGGACTCTAATCTGGGAGAACCAGGTTTGATTCCCCACTCCTCCACTTGCACCTACTGGATGGCCCTGGGCAAGCCGTAGTTCTGATAAGACCTGTCCTTGAGAAAGAGCAGTTTCTGTCAGAGCTCTCTCAGCCCCACCTGCCTCACAGGGCGTCTGTTGTGGGGAGGGAAAAGGAAAAGGAGTTTGTAAGCCGCTCTGAGACACCTTTGGGTAGTGACGGGCGGGGTATAAATCCGATCTCTTCTTCTCTTCTCAGTTTGGTGTCGTGGTTAAGTGTGTGGACTCTAATCTGGGAGAACCAGGTTTGATACCCCACTCCCCCACTCACACCTGCTGGATGACCTTGGGCAAACCATAGTTCTGTCAGAGCTGTCCTTGAGAAAGAGCAGTTTCTGTCAGAGCTCTCAGCCCCGCCTACCTCCCAGGATGTCTGTTGTGGGGACTGGGGAGGGTAAAGGAGTTTGTAAGCCGCTCTGAGACTCCCTTGGGTAGTGAAGAGTGGGGTATAAATCCAATCCCCTTCTTCTTCTTCTTCTTCTTCTTCTTCTTCTTCTTCTTCTTCTTCTTCTTCTTCTTCTTCTTCTTCTTCTTCTTCTTCTTCTTCTTCTTCTT